GTATTTTTTTATTATACTTCTTCTTGGATTGATCTAATTAGTTTTATGCTTTATTTTTGTTTTATGATGTCTCAGAATGTTAATTTTGCTTATCGTTCCAGCTGTAAACTTTTAATTATCCTGACTTCGAAAAGCATATATCCTACAAACTTTGAATATTCAAAGAGTCTTCCTAAATCAGTTTTCACTAGTCCAAATCAATTTGTATTCTTCTTATACTATTTCGTTAAACAAATAATTTTGGAGAAATAAGGAAGGGTCGTGTCGCTTTATACCGAGAAGTCAAAATGTCTATGTGCATGTATTAAAAACATATATGGTATTTGCTAATACCTCTCACTTACTGTTTAAACCAATCTTTTGAATATCACATCAAATTAACGTCGTGAAAACAAGACCCATTCAGGGATCCCGGACTTGACTTTAGCCGATTAACACGATCCAACATTTTCAGATGTCCTAATTTAAATGAAAAAATTGTATCCAATTTCCTATGCTTATCTATTACTCTTAATAATTTTTAAAATATCCTAAATTGTGACCAAATATATCCGAGGCTCATTTTTTTTTTGCTTTATATTCTGATACACCGGTAAACACACATACAATTAGGTGATTGCAAAAATATGTTGGATCTTCACAAATTATGCAATTAGGTTGAGACCAAGTTGCTATACAAATTTGGATAATCATCAACAATAGAGCCAGAGTCAATAGAGATACAAAACTGTAACTTTGTGACAACTTTTAGCATAAAAAGAACCAAGTGTTGCAACAAGTTCCACAGTAAAAAAGATGAAAAGAAAAGCCTAGTCAATAGAGGCTGGATCACAATCTTAGCAGAAAAGAAGAGAACAAAGTAGAGAGACATTTATGATAGTGAACCTTGAGACCACCAGGCTTGTAATTCACTCAAAAGATGGAAGCAGGAATTCATCAACCATTTCCACAAGGTTGGGGTTCTCTAGCGCAGCCGCCACACGTTCTTTGTCGTTTGGTTGTTTATTGACTGCATTGTCAAGATCAAGAAACGAGAAATGTCTTAAGAATAAGCACACTTGTAGGGATCTACGGTAAGGGAAGTTTTACATTCCATTTGCTATTGTAAGATCACTCTACTATTTCATTGGCGACACGGTAAAACAAAAGATTGGATCAAAACCCAAACACGTACGTATACCAAGGATAATGAAAAATGACATACCTGCATCTTCAGTCGCATGAGTACCCGGTGCTACCCTTATATCAACCTGAAAAAGAAAAGAGTTTTGAGGCAGTCGTAATGACATATAGTAGAAGCTGCCTCAAGCTATATCCTCTTCGCAAAGCATCAGAACATTAGCTCGATAATGAAACAAAAATAGTTCTTTGCCACACATATCACAAGTAGAATATGTGTGGTGAACTTTTATTTAGCTCTCTGGCACTTGATGAATATGATTCTCGCCAAATGTTCTTACTTAGACTGAGTTCAAACCACTCTCAGCAATGCAATGCGTGTAAGTCAGAAAATGGGCTCAGAAGATCGTTTTGACTATGTACAAAGAGAATTGATAAATAGTGAATCTAACTACTTTAAAAGCTCTTCCAAAGAATAAGGATGCTCTGGATCTTTAATATCTCTCATATGATGTGTGAATGTTAAGGAGAAACAAAACGATCCAATATGAGAACAAAAGATTCATGACTTGTAATAACTTAAAGAAGCAAGCTTTCAAGCTTAAGAGGGCAGCGAATAG